TGAGGCAAACTCGACCAGAACCGATCTTTCCCCCGAGTTTATGAAACAGTACCATAAATCAACTAATGGAGGTAAATAAAAGCAAGTTAACAGATGATTAGATGTCATTCAGTTCGAAAACTCTACTTTTAAGGACGTGATTATTTAACGGACGTCAGAAGAGCAATACCGATGGATCCCACTACCATCGTTTCTATCGGACGCATCCGTTAACAAGACCCGGTACAGAGTATGAAAACCTCAACCGAGAGACTCGGCCATTTAGGTCGCGCTAGGCTCACCGGGATCATTGTAATTAATGGTTAGAGACACTCAGTTATATGGCTGAAAATGGTAAACAGTGGCGTTCGTGCATCTTCTCAATTTCTTTGCAACCTTAGACCACTGAAATTATCAATTTTCTCTTCAACTCTACTTTCGACTTTTCTGTCTTTCTCCTACTACTTCATCCAAATGGGCAGTCAAAAGACAGCAACCAAGGAGCGGTGCACGAAGTTGCATGGTTAATGCTTGTAAAAAGCTGAAACTGAGTGCATGCAGTGTCTTTAAAAGTATGCTTGTTTTCCGACAGTGTATTATTCCTAAAACAAATAAGAGAACATCACTGGACTACCCTTTTCTAGGTTCAGCCCCTAGTGAGACTTTCACTAATTAAAGAACGCTATCCACTGGGCACATCGAATTAATCCAAGTATCTTTACTCACCTGGAACGAACACAATAATGTATCATCTACAGACATCATGGCTCCAGCGTTATCAAATTCACCACAGTAGTTTGGAGCAGAAAACAAGGTTACTAGTTGGCGTTTTGCGAAGAACTCGTAGCCATCTTCAACAACCTAAAAATTAACAAACAGATTTGTCCGAAAGGGGTGGATAAACATACTTGATGTGCTCGACAGATTAAATCCAAATCGTGTTTGTGTAGGAACTTAGCCACCACGTCGGGACCAAACGTAAAACTGACACCACGGTCGTTCTCGCCCCAACCGGATACATCCTTATCTGGATCGGACCATAGAAGATCACACAGGAGACCTTGTTCAGGTACGTCGGTTGGCCGCATAATGCGCCTTATCTGTTCCATTGTCTGTAAATCAGGAGAAAGACCTGAAGAGTGATGCAATAAGACAAATATGGAGTCCTACCTCCGTGGCAGCAGAAAATTTTCTCATCGATGATGGCTACGATTGGAAGACAATTGAAACAATCAGTGAAGGTCTTCCAAAGTTTAATGTTGTAACGGCGTTTACCTGAAGATTAATGTCAATCCAGAGAAAGCAAACCTACATTCGTCATAGAAGCCGTAAATACGATTGATAGAGGCGCACTCATGGTTCCCTCGCAAAAGGAAGAAATTTTCTGGATATTTGATTTTGTAGGCTAGTAGCAGACATATTGTTTCCAGTGACTGTTTCCCACGATCCACATAATCACCAAGGAACAAATAGTTAGCTTCCGGAGGAAAAGCTCCATATTCAAACA